AGAAAATAATTTCACTATATGTGAATTTATATATGGGTTCCTTTTTAAACTATTAACTAAACCCCAGATTTCACCAGTTTTTTTTTTTATTAGTGTCCTTATTCCGTTTTAGAATCCAACTCAGGATACTACATTACATTCAGTTCTCATGTCTCTTTCACCTCCTTTGGTCTGTGACAGTTTCTCAGTATTCTTTTATTTTTCATGACTTTGATAGTTTTGAGTACTGGTGAAGAATTTTGTAGAATGTCCCTCAATTTAGTTTTGTCTGACGTTTTCTCATCAATCGACTAGGTTATGAGTACTTGGAAAGAATACCACTAAGGTGAAGGGCCTTTTTGATGACCTCATACCAGGAGGTCTGTGATATCCACATGACAGCACCGCTAACAACCTTGGTCATTTGGTTAAACTAGTGTTTGCCAGGTTTCTCCACTGTTAAGGTTGCCTTGTTTTCTGTCTTCACACTCTATTTACTGGAATTGAGTCACTAAGTCCAGCCCATACTCAAGGGGGGAAGAGCATGATCCACCTCCTGGAGCCTGGGGTCTACATATATTATTTGGCATTCTTCTGTAAGATTTCTTTTTTCTTAACTGTTTTGGAAAATATTTTCACCTTGTACACAGGCATTCTAGAAATGTACTTAGTTTTGCTTATTTTTAAAACTTTGCTGTGGATGAACATTCGTTATTTACAATATTTTGCTATTAGAGAGAGATGCTGCTATCAACACTCTTGTACATGTCTCCTGGTACTCATGTACAAGTTTCTCCAGGAAATATACCCGAGTGGAAAAGCTGGATTATAAACCATGTATCATATTCAAATGTACAAGATAATGCCAGACTGTTTTCCAAAGTGGTTGTATCAATCTACACTCTCACCAGCAGTGTATAAAAAGTTCCTACTGTTCTACATCCTTACTCACGCTTGGTATTCTCAGTCCTGTTCATTTTTGTCAGTCTAGTAGGTATAAAATAATACCTCATCATGATCTTGGTTTGGTTTTTCTTGATTACTAATGAGCATCTTTTCATGTTTATTCTGCATTTGTACATTATTTTCTAAAAAAATACTTGTTAATATCTTTTGCCATATTTTACGATGTTATCTTTCTTCTTCTTTCTTTTTTGGCCTCACTGCACGGCATGCGGGAGGGATCTTAGTTCCCCAACCAGGAACTGAACCCGAGCCCCCTGCAGTGGAAGCCCAGAGTCTTAACCACTGGATCACCAGGGAAGTCCCTATCTTTCTTCTTTTTGATTGACAGGAATTCTGTATACACCCTGGATCCTTTGTAAAATATATCTATATCATATATATCTTGTAAAGTATCTATCATATGTATGATATGATAAGATATAAAAGATATATTTTTGATAAGATATATATATGTACATATATATGATATATATATGCACATCCTTTGTAAGTTATATCTGTATCTTCACCCCATTTGTGGCTTGTCTTTCCACTCTATCATATAAAGAACAAAGGTTCTTATTTCAACATAGGCCAATTTATAGATCTTTTCGTTTATGATAACACTTTAAATGTCTTATTTAAGAAATTCTCCCCACCCCAACCTAAGGGTCATAGTGGTATGTTTTTTTTCTAAATTTTAAAAAGTTTTTTTTTTTTTTTTTTGCAGTATGCGGGCGTCTCACTGCCGTGGCCTCTCCCGTTGCGGAGCACAGGCCCCGGACGCACAGGCTCAGTGGCCATGGCCCACGGGCCCAGCCGCTCCGTGGCATGGGGAATCCTCCCAGACCGGGGCACGAAACCGTGTCCCCTGCATTGCAGGTGGACTCTCAACCACTGCACCACCAGGGAAGCCCCTTAAAAAGTTTTTTATCTTTTATATTTAACTTATCTAGAGTTAATACTTGTGATATGTAAATATAATGGTTTGCAGTATTAAAAACTCACATTAGGTGGAATTCACCAATGAAATCATGGGGAAATAAAGCTGGGACTCTCAAATAACCTTTTTTTTTTTTTTTTTTTTTTTTTGTATTTTTTTTTTATTTATTTTTTTTTTTAAACATTTTTATTGGGGTATAATTGCTTTACAATTGTGTGTTAGTTTCTGCTTTATAACAAAGTGAATCAGTTATACATATACATATGTTCCCATATGTCTTCCCTCTTGCGTCTCCCTCCCTCCCACTCTCCCTATCCCACCCCTCCAGGCTGTCACAAAGCACCGAGCTAATATCCCTGTGCCTTGCGGCTGCTTCCCCCTAGCTATCTACCTTACTACGTTTGTTAGTGTGTATATGTCCATGACTCTCTCTCACCCTGTCAAAGCTCACCCTTCCCCCTCCCCATATCCTCAAGTCCGTTCTCCAGTAGGTCTGCGTCTTTATTCCTGTCTTACCCCTAGGTTCTTCATGACATTTTTTTTCCCCTTAAATTCCATATATATGCGTTAGCATACGGTATTTGTCTTTTTCTTTCTGACTTACTTCACTCTGTATGACAGACTCTAGGTCTATCCACCTCATTACAAATAGCTCAATTTCGTTTCTTTTTATGGCTGAGTAATATTCCATTGTATATATGTGCCACATCTTCTTTATCCATTCATCCGATGATGGGCGCTTAGGTTGTTTCCATCTCCGGGCTATTGTAAATAGAGCTGCAATGAACATTTTGGTACATGACTCTTTTTGAATTTTGGTTTTCTCAGGGTATATGCCCAGTAGTGGGATTGCTGGGTCATATGGTAATTCTATTTGTAGTTTTTTAAGGAACCCCCATACTGTTCTCCATATCAAATAACCTTTTAAGAGGTTAGCACTTGCTCCCTTGCCCAATCTGTCCCTGAACTAGAGTATGATTCTGATTGCCAGTAACTTTCACAGACCTAAATGAAATTCACATGAACAGCTGCAACTGGGACTTCTGCTTCTGCAATGCACTAGCATACACGCTATTTAACGCAGTTCGGTTGTCAAAAAACTGAGAGGATTTTTAGTATGTTGACCAAATTTTTGAAATTTCTTTACATTTCATTAAACCCGGCAAACAGAAACATCTCCAAACGATAAAATAAATTTATTTCAATTGGGCACTGGGGAAAAAATGGTGTTATTCTAAAGCAGGACTTTCTTTATGATCCTAGCGGCTTCACGGGTGACTAAAATGGTTAGAAGTTACAAATGAATAATCCAAGGCAAAATCCATCCCTAAGCAAGAGAACCATCTTTTACCGCTAATAAAACAATGCAAATGGTTCTCTGATACTTCTCTACTTTATTAAGGTTAACCAACATGGTATTTATATATCTAAACATTTACTGTAAATTTTCAGTGATGTTTAGATTCTAAATTACCTTTCCATAATTAAGTTAAATTTAGGCACATTGGTATTTTATAAAAAACATTTATCTTTAGGTCACAAATAGGAATGAGCTATAATTTGCAAATGTTACAAAGGTGATTCCAAATCTCAGCTAAATTCTTTCCAAAATTGCAACCACTCATTCAGTCTTTCATAAAAATAGAGACCAAACACAATTGCTTAAACTTATCACTGTTGAGAGATTCTGGTAACTAAGAAATTCCTGAAAGAGTAATAAGCCGTGATTATTGGAAAGCTCAGAACACTGGCAAGGCTTAACTGCAAAGTACTTAACAGAAGGCCACAAATTTTGTTTTCCTAAGAGGAGCTAGGAACTACAGATGTCACTGAGTAGTGCATTGAAATGGCATTGCCTAGGGTGAGTGCTGCACAGAAACTCCAGGTCACCTCTTCTTGATCTATTATTTTGGATAAGCTTCCACTATCATAGCATGGCCCTGTAAAGGAAAAAAAGTTCAATTAGAGCAATCAAATGCAATGAATCCAGCCAGAACAATGGGAAAAATATAGGCTTTGGGACTTAATCCTGGCTCTGCCATTCAAATACTGTGCAATCCTGGGAAAGTTATTAGCCATTCTGAACCTCAACTTCCTCTCTAAAATGGGGTTCATGGTGCCCACTTCAAAGTGTTTTTGTGAGCATTAGATAGCATACAATGTATGTATACACACACACACACATACATGTATACACATGTGTATCAGGGTCTATCTAGAAGAGTCTGACTCCTAGTAGATGCTCCGTAAGTGGTTACTATTAAAATAAGCCAGAGGGGCTTTTTTAGCGGTATAAAAATAAACGCAATACAGTGAATCCAACAACAGCCTTCTCTCTCTCCTAGACAAGAAAACTGAGGCTTTGAGAGGTTAAGTTACTCAGCCAAATCCACAAAGCTATTAAGTAACAGGGTCAGGACTTGAAACCAGATGATTCCAAAACCTGGTCTCTTCTTTACTTCTCTATGCGGGTGAAGATGATGATTTGAGGTTCCACAAAGGCAAAAAGGTAGAAAATCCCTTTCCTAGTACTAGGCACAGTGCTATATCCAAGTTATCTCCCTAGGTGAAACCTAGTATAGAAATTAATGACTTCATGAGTCTAAATCCTATCTGATAATCATAGTCATTCTATCTTTTGGACTGCTATCAAACTAGTTAATAGCCTAACTAACCTCCCTGCTTCTAGATTCAATTCAATCCCCACAAATATTTATTAAACAACTATTATTTATAAGGCACCAAGCTGAACACTGTGTGGGTACGAAGTTTTGCTACACGGTCTGTATCCTCAATCTAATATACACTGTAGTTCAAAACAAACTGCTAAATACTTGATACAGGCACAAGCAAACAAAAGAATATGGATGGGAAGGATTGACTGACTTGGGGTTGTCCTAGAAGGGCCCATAATAAGGTAGAATATTCCTTCTTCTGTTTTATTTCAACTGTGTTGTTTTCATGTTCCAAATCTTTTATATTGCACTAGATCAGTGGTTCTCAACGGCACTGATTTTGCTCCCTCCCCTCCCCAGAGGACATTTAGCAATGTCTGGAGATATTTCTGGTTGTCCCAACTGTGTGTGTTGGCAGGGGGGCGGGGGTGGGGGTGGGGAGTGAGGGGGGTGGTTTGCTACTGGTATCTAGTGGGTAGAGACCATGTTAAACACCCTACAACACACAGCACAGTCCCCTCACCCGCAACAAAGAATTATCTGGCCCAAAATGTTACTAGTGCCAGAGCTCAGAAACCCTGATCCACAATGATGGATTCCTCCTTTGATCTAATCATGTTTGTAGCACGCATTTGGCTCTTGATGAAACAATGCCAAGTTTAATCTAGTTTCTAAGTTGTATCATCTCCTTCTTCACTATACTGTAAACTTCTAGAGGTAAGTAATAATACTGGATATTATTCTTTGTTCATCCACAAAAGCACCTAGTATTGTGTTATTAATCCTCTATGTGCTAGATTAAAAAATTAGGGAACAAACACTCAAACCCAAAGGACGTTAACCTATGTGGACTATGCACTGTGTACAATGCTATGCACTAGTTACCTCCCGCGTTTAAATTTGGCATAGAAAGATAAGAGGGAGGGCTCCAGTCCTGATTTACCATGGTGTTCTGTAAATGAAGTTACAACAGATTAGAAAATACTTCTGATTGTGAAGTCTAAAATATTCCAACCTAAAAATAACTGATCTCTTGCTTCTTCAAAGTCTCTGAGAAAAAGCCATAAATAAAGGCTTTTAAATGTAAGATGTTTATACTTTTACATCTGATTCATCTTGGTCGGCAACAGATAGTTTCTGTTATCTGGAGAAAAATCAAATCTGTTTCCATCAGGGTTGGAAAAAAAAAAAAAGATTACATCCAGCCTTCCTTTTGGATTTTATTCCCACGTGAAATGCTATAGCAGGTAGGAAGTTTCGTCAGTAACACAAGTAAAGCAGATAGAAAAAAAATCTGTAGAAAACCATAATTTTCCTCAGCTAAACAGCAATACGTTATCCAGAGGCAAATTAATTCTCCATTAAGGTATAGTTCAGTTCTCAAGAAAGACTTGGAGAGATTTTATGGATAACGTCTCATGGTGACTAGATAAATGGATAAAATTTTATTATTAAAGAAGAAAATATATCAAAGTGTGAATAATGATAGTGTCTGATGAGGGGATTATAAGTGATTATAATTTTATTTTCTAAATACTTTTTGTATTTTCATAATTTCCATAAGGAGCATATATAACTTTTTTAAACAAAAAACATAAACATTATTTTAGGGGAAAAAAATAACTTGGATTTAAATAGATTCTTCCTTTCAAAGTACTATCAGAATTAAAGTTGTACTCCCTCCCCACAAAAATGGGCTGCTTTTTTCCCAGTTGTCTGTCATCAGAAAAATCACTCTAAGACTGTTTCAAATTAAGCTAAATCAAACATTCTTGGATGAATTTGTTTTGTTTCCAAGAAAATGACTTTCTGGAAGCTCCTATGAAGCTTCTGTGACATACCTGCCCTCCAGCTGCACAGGCGGCAACTAACCCATACTGGCCTCCTTCCTTCTGTAATCTGTTGGCAGTTGCCATGACCAACCGACAGCCAGTGGCTCCAAACGGGTGCCCCAGGGAGAGTGATCCACCCCAGATGTTAAACTTCTCCAAAGGAGGCGATCCAACCTGGCTCCCACAAAAATGGACACAAATATAAAGATGAGTTTACTTAAGAATCAGACAAGGCTCGTAGTTATTAACAGGTAGTAATGGCAATAAAGGGAAGTAACTAACTTAAGACAAATCACAAGTTATTTTACTGCAAAAGAAAGAGATTCTAAATCAATTCTGAAAGCCAAGGGCCCACTTATTTTTCATCTAACATCAGAATGGATGAACAAAGACAACCTAAAATTTTGCCTTTATTTTATTTTTTGTTTTTTAACATCTTTATTGGAGTATAATTGCTTTCCAACGGTGTGTTAGTTTCTGCTGTATAACAAAGTGAATCAGCTATACATATACGTATATTCCCATATCTCCTCTCTCTTGAGTCTCGCTCCTACCCTCCCTATCCCACCCCTCTAGGTGGTCACAAAGCACCAAGCTGATCTCCCTGTGCTATGCAGCTGTTTCCCACTAGCTATTTTACATATGGTAGTGTATATATGTCAATGCCACTTTCTCACTTCGTCCCAGCTTACCCTTTCCCCTCCCCGTGTCAAGTCCATTCTCTAAGTCTGCATCTTTATTCCTGTCCTGCCCCTAGGTTCTTCAGAACCATTTTTTTTTTTTAGATTCCATATGTACGTGTTAGCATATGGTATTTGTTTTTCTCTTTCTGACTTACTTCACTCTGTATGACAGACTCTAGGTCCATCCACCTGACTACAAATAACTCAATTTTGTTTCTTTTTATGGCTGAGTAATATTCAATTGTATATATGTGCCACATCTTCTTTATCCTTGCTTTTATTTTTTTCTAAAGAATTTCCAGGAGGTATTTTTCAACTAAGAAATAAATATATGTAATGAAACACAAAATTCTTCATAAGCAGCAGCAGCTTTCCTCTTCATATATTTTTTTAAACCTCTTCATATTTTTATTAGCAGGTATTAAAGCTCCAAATATTAAAGTGCTTTGGAAACTCAAGCTGTGTTTTGGCTACGCTGCACAGCATGCAGGATCTTAGTTCCCCAACCAGGGATCGAACCCGTGCCCCCCTGCAGTGGAAGCACAGAGTCTTAACCACTGGACCACCAGGGAAGTTCCTCGAGCATATTTTTAACCAGAAACTTACCTTGGCTTTTCTACCCATGTAGTTTTGTGCAAACCAGTCAGAATCCATGGCTTTCAAATTAGCCAAAATCTGACCCTAGAAAGGAAAATAACTCAATAAGGACCTTGTTAGTAATGTCCCTCAAGGCGTTCTTTGAGTTTGTCTAACTTTAAAGCTAAGCAAATCTTTAAATCAGTTTTCAGTGAATATTTCCCAAAGAAACAATCTGGTACTTTTGAAGGGCCTCAAAGTGACAGCTTCAAAAGGTATGTTTTTTAGCACTGTGTGTGTAGCCCTGGATTCCTCCCATCATGCCCTTCCCAGCAGTGTAAGTCAGTACTTCAAATATAAAGCTCCACTCTTGTTTTACTCATATTAAATGATTATAGTCCTTTGATATGTGTCTTTAAAGTGACTTACTGAGAAAGCTTCATGAAATTCAAAAGCATCAATATCATTCATTGTTAATCCTGCCTTTTCTAAAACTTTTGGAGTAGCATATGTTGGTCTGAAAAGAAAAAAATAAGTGATACAATATTAAAACTTTAATTTTTAACCTAAGAGCTCCTTCATATTCCCCAAACTGAGTTCTACATAATTATCAGAGTGTCTTCCACTCACTCACTGATTCTACTGTACAAATATTAAGTGTTGGTGATACAATATTAAACTGAACAGACATGGCCTCTGCCCTTTGCAGTTGATATTCTGGACTCAGAGAAATAGATAATAAGCAAGTAAACAATTAATGAGAAGGACAAATTAATAATGTGAAGAGCTAGAAGAACACAGAGTTCAAAGGGCAGAGCATCAGAAGGGGCATGGCTAGTTAAAGGACATAATGGAGGCTAGTGAGGGTAGAGCCTCGTGAGGGAGGGAGAGGAGTCTAAACATTAGGAGGCTTTTATAAAAAGCTATTCTGAAGACTGTTGCAGAGTGTGTGGCAATATGAAAAAAATGCTTATGACATCTTAATGTAAAACAAGAATACAAAATTGTATATATATTGTAATTATAAGTAGAAAAGTATAGGAAAAAGTGGAAAAGACTCCAAAACTATAAAATGATAAAGCAACATAAAAGATTATTATTATTTAAAAAACCCAACTCACAAGCCAATTATGAACTCAGGGCTTAATGTACTTTAAAATCTATGTAAGAAACATTGGTAACCAAGTATTTTTCATTATAATCCTAGGATACACACTGCTACCTACCCAAGTAAAAGCTGATCTTTTGGATCCTGAGACACGTACACAAAATCCCTAGGTAAAAGAAGAGAGGAGTTAGCTTTAGTACTAAAATAAAGAAACCAGAGGTAATTTATTTGAACACTTACTTTACCTCAAATATGCCTTCGGTTTATAACCCATGGCCAGAGCTTTTTCCTCTGCCAAAATCAGCACTGCAGATGCACCATCGGTCTGAAATGTTGACCGGAACAAAAATGTTAAATTCTGCAGCCTCTCTGGTGGTCTTTATTCAGCCACCTTCTATGCCGTTCCTAAATCTACCAACCAGTGACACTTATACAGTGCCTCTATATAACAAAACCTTTCCATTTTATCCATCGTTAGGTCACAATTCAAACACACACACCGACCCACTTTTGGAAGACGAGGGTACAAGAGCCTATTCAGAAAGTACCGTAATTATCAAAATGGATGAGGAGAATAGGTAACTCTAGAAATATGTGTTCATGATAAACTAAAAGTTTTTTGCTTTTAGTGCAGAATATGAGGAATTTTATGAATTAAAACAATCTCCAAAAAAATCTCTTATTTACTGATTTATTTTTACACTTTCTGGACTGTTTCCCAGCTGCTTCCTGCCTGTGGCTTTGAGGTGATTTTCTTCTATTTATAGACTATAACAATCGGAGAAGAAGAAATAGGTAGATAGCTGAGAACATAAGAACCATGGCCTTCCCTCTCTGGACCTACCCCACGTGCTTTCTTCCAACTGACAACTGAGAAGTTGGGGGACAAAGAAGTACCACTCACAAAAGCCCTTTACCATTGCTTCAAAAAAAAGAGCTCAAAAAAAAAACAAACCCAAAATTCCAAAGGAAAGGAAACTACTCCCTAGAATTTGCAAAATCAAAACAATTTCTACCACATCAGACCATATTTTTACAACTCAGTAACTGTGAAGAGGCTATGTAGCCACTACTGATAGGCGGGCATAAAGTCTGGAAACACAGGTGACTATACATAATGATATCACATCAATAACATATTCAATGTGCAGTTGTGCAAAATTGCAGTGAATGTGGTGCGTTAACAAAACCTCTGAAAATCCATGTATTTGTGATGCATTACCTCTGACGATTCGTGTTTCTGACTTTTGATGAATAAACCTGAACCTTTTGCACACCCCACAAGTAATCAAGGGGGCTCAGATCTGCCAAGAGTGTAACCCATACCATATGGCCCTATCATCCAACTTGGTTTTGGAAATAATCACCTAACCAGCCCTTCACCACTCAGGCTTTACAGAGTGGTACATCATCCTGTTGGAACCACTTCAGGCACCCTTGCCCGAGCTCAAGAGCAGGCATTAAATCATCATTTACCAAAGTCAAATATGTCAAACATTTGCCTATGTTTCTAGACTGTATACCTGGGTAGAGGAGTTACACTGTCAAAGAAACATTGACCAGATGAACTCTATCCAGAAGACTACACCCAAGGTAGTAGGAGAAGGAAAACCACATCTCCCAAGCAGAAGCAGAATCAGCAGGGACATTCAATTGAGGAGAAGAAAAAAAACCCAAGCAAGGACATGAAGCTACCTGCATATAAGTAAAATAACAACAACAGAAAACGAGGGTAGATTTATTCCACGATGCTTATAGGAAAGTAATTTGGAGGCCGGCATAAAACATAATTTTCTAACAATCAGAGCTAGGAGATGTATCTCGTCACTCTCTCTGCCTACTTTCCAAGTCTTATGCGACTCCCTGAATTCATATCCTATGTTCCAACCAAGATTTTCCCCAAAAAGGTCCTTGCTCTCGTAACTAACTCCTGATTTTGCATTTGCTGTTCCTTTTGCCTAGAATGCCATTTATACACTACCTGAATTGGCTTGTACTCTTCCTTCAAGATTCTCTGAGCAAGGGTCACCTCCTCTAAGAAGCCTCTTTGACCCACCCATCTATGTATCTTCCCCAAGAGTCTATGCTTATAGCCTTCACAGCACTTTCTCACTACATTACAATAAACGGTTCTTTTTATCTCCAGTGCCTAGCACAGGCAGGCAAAGTTTTTTGACTGCTGAAGTGCCTGAAGACAACAGCTTTTTTGTAACAGGATGGTGACTGGGTCAGGAGACTTCTATGGCTTTAAAAACTGTAATTCTATTTTAATATTATCTTTGTAATGAGGAAGTATATTTTTAAGTCTCTATTCATAATACACACAAATAACTCTATTTCAGGCTTTTCTATTGAGAGTACACAAATATAAAAGATCACTAGTAAACACATATACCACACATAGTTACCAGAAAAGAAGAATTTGCAGCTGTCACTGTGCCATAGGGCTTGATGAATGCAGGTTTTAGTTTGGCCATTTGCTCCAAGGAGGAAGGACGAATGCCATTATCTTGAGTAACTGTATCTTTTCCTATAAAAATATGAAGTTTTTAACTCTAAGGCACAACAAGCATTATATATCTTCTCCAGAGAAATACACTTTAAAAATTACAAGAACAAATAAAATGTAAACCACAGATATTCACTAAAATGAAAGCCTTTTATAGTTATCAAGGTATTACCAAATTTGAAAATAAATTCTTAAGAATTTTGGGAAATAATCTAAATGATTTAACATTAGAAAGGATACCCTATTTTCTTAAGATATTCATTCACATTTGGCTCTTCTATACAGAAGAGATATGAATGAAGAATTTTAAAAACAGGCATGCACATAAGAACTAAAACATATCTGCAAGATCTAAAGGAGACATAAAAATTTCTCTTTTTAAAAGTTTTACCAGGGACTTCCCTGGTGGTCAAGTGGTAAAGAATCCACCTTCTAATGCAGGGGACACGCATTCCAGCCTTGGTCAGGGAACTAAGATCCTACGTGCCTTGGGACAACGAAGCCTGAGCACCACAACTACTTAGCTCGCGCGCCTCAACGAGAGAGCCTGTGTGCCGCAAACTACAGGGCCCATGCACCCTGGAACCTGCGCCCCACAACTACAGAGCCCACACACCATGGAGCCCGTGCACCACAACTAGAGAGAAAAAACCCGCAGGCCACAACTAGAGATAAGCCTGCGCGCCGCAACGAGGAGCCCACATGCCTCAACAAAGATCCCGCATGCTGCAACTAAGACCTGACACAGCCAAAAATAAATAATAAAATAAAATCTTAAAAAAAAAATGTTTACCTACTGTTACAACAAGGATTGAAACTTGAGCCCATGTTTAAGAATAAAGGCTGAGTGTCTCGGAAAGAGAACCATCATATTTACTGGAAAGTCACTCGGGGTCTTTGGAGTTTTAGAAGAAATTCAGAACTCCCTAACAAGTATCAAGAGCATTAAGAGCATTCTCCTCTACAAAGTGAGGCAAACTGTTTTACCTGGTACTTTGAAGGGCACGACATCAGAAAGGAGTCCTTCACCCTGTGCCTTTTTGGCCAGGCTGTGTGAGCGCAGTGCATACTCATCCTGTTCCAGCCGAGAAATAGCAAAGGCGGCAGCCAGTCGGTCCGCAGAGTGGCCCATGGTCTCATTGGTGGAGAACTCGGCCACTGCTGGAAGCTGGGAAAGGAGATATTCAGGACCAGGCACACTGTTAACAGGTGCTATACCACACCCAGGGTTACTTGGGAAAGTTAAAGTCTACTATCAATCAAGACTAAGACAAGGGAAGTTCTTTCTGAGCAGGGCATCTCTAAAAAGGCTTACAAATTCAAATCTTCGAACCACTATTTTTTCTTTCTTTCCATCTTGACCAAATAATTAACCCTTCCCTGTAACTAACAGGATCTGCAACTGCTAGAGCATAACTGAACCCATGCTGTCTCCCCTAAGTCTAAATCTCTGCAATGGGATGCTTCGGCAACACAAGTCTTTATGTAAGCGTTCACAATTCTCACCTCGGGTGACAGGAAATTCAATCTGAATTTAGAGATTAAAGACAGTCGCTGACCCAGAGTCTTGGCCTTACTGAGATCCAGCATCATCTTCCTCATTTTCCTTGAGTGGCGAATAGGGACGTCAGACATTAACTCTACACCGCCGGCCACGACCACGTCACACTGGCCGGAAGCAATCAAGCCGACAGCTACAGGGCACAGGGCACAGGTGCATGAGCATCTCTTGTATAGATAAACAGGCCATTGGTAATTTAAGCTGCTTTTCCTTTTTTTAAATTTAGGCTTCTTGATTTAAAAATTGTATGATAGTTACTAGCATTGTACAACATGTGTAATTAAGGTTTTTAACTCTTCAGAGGCATTAGGGTAAGTTTTTGAAATGACTAAAAATACATTCAACGCACTGGAGAAAAACAAGTTTCATTCAGGCTGTGTGGACATCAACTTCCGGAAGTATCCACCGGACCAACTCTCAAACAAATCGTGTTCTAAACCAGAACTTTGGGCATATTTTATATGCTCCCAGCTTTAGTTTCCATAATGACTTTTTTCCTATAAAGAGAATTTCAATTTCTACTAGAAGCTAGAGAAATTCTGGCTTTTAGATAGCAGACAGCCCCTTTCCCTCTTTAGGGCCACTGGCAAGTACTGTGTCACTTTACCCAGAAGCGGTCCCATGCTGCGTGGAGTGGAGAATGCCCCCATCCCTGCCTCTGGCTTCATCCCCTGCCACCCCTTAGGTGGCAACCTGGACTTGATGTCACTAAGAGAGCACATGATGACCATATCTTTCATGTTTCCTGTCTTTTCACAATAAGGGTTGATGCTACAAAATGTCCCACAGATTTGCTACGTTTTTTAGGAGAATTTCTAACTAATTATAAAAATGCCTAGATGTTGGGAAAAAGTAGAGGAAAAGAGTTGTATCACCTAAAGCAGTGACTTATCACTGTGACAATGGTAGAGGGAGGAAGGCCACAATCTTCGTTGGGGAGTATCATTATTAGAATCACCTAACTAAAATCTAGCAGGTTATAAACTTCTCATGCCTCAAATCTGGAAGTATCCCTCCAATAAACAATCCCTGAGATAGCCAGCCACACTAGTGATGGAGAAACTACAAGAATGGTTGTGGTCCTCAGGTACGGAGGGCAGGAAAAAGGGTTGAGAACTACTGTCAAAAATCAAAAAATTTTGGGCTTCCCTGGTGGCACAGTGGTTGAGAGTCCGCCTGCCGATGCAGGGGACACGGGTTCGTGCCCCGGTCCGGGAAGATCCCACATGCCGCAGAGCGGCTGGGCCTGTGAGCCGTGGTCGCTGAGCCTGCGCGTCCAGAGCCTGTGCTCCGCAACGGGAGAGGCCACAACAGTGAGAGGCCCACGTACCGCAAAAAAAACAAAAACAAAAACAAAAACTTTAAACATTACCTTATTTTTTGAAACACACAGATCATTTATTTCTGTTAAGAGTAGTTTTTAATGATCATATAAAAGACAAAGGAGAACCAACATGTACCTTCTGCGGTCAAAAAAACATACCTGTGGTCATGGCTTGGTTGGAAGAGATGCAAGCCATGGTGACAGTGTGAGCAGGAGTCCTGTCAGAGAAGCCAGCTCCAAGGGCAGCCTTCAGGAAACAGAGTGAATGAAAGCATCACTTAGGAAGGCAGTGATTCATGTAAATGGCACTTTAAGCGATACTTCACTGTATGGTACATCAGGGAAGGATTTGAGGTCAATAATCCATAGAGTAATATTTAAAATAAAACTAAGCACATCACAGAAATGGTTTACTAATTTTTTGTCTAGCTATTAACTGACAAGCACTCTGCCAAGTTCCTTGTAGCCATTTTCTAGTGTGGTATACAAGCCTACAACAGTCTTGCAGTTCACCTAATTTCTTAGCAATGCTTTTCTCAGAGCTTTAAGGACATTAATATGTAATTTGATTTTAACTTGTTTAAATTTGCAAGTAAACCTAAAGTAAACCTGCTACACACAATTGAGGGAATGATGACCTATATCATGGTGTGGGGCTCTCATGATCTATGTTCCTGCAGTTATAAGGCTTAGTAGTAAAGCAAAGTCATCAAACATGAAAATCATTTCTGAAGAACTGACTCCTCATGAACAGATTCCCACACAGGTCCCTGCCTGCTTACACACGTCTCTACTTTCACTGACTGCCTGACATTTCAGACAGCACACCGTGATCCAACGCCAAGAGGAATTGGAAAACACGCCAAACACGCAAGAGTTCAAGTTGATGAAAGAAATTTTGGAAAACTGCCTGAGCCTCAAGTGAACCTCTGATAAATAAGGGTTAACAGTTAACAACTGGAAATGAGAAAACTGGTCAGGAATGATGACACAAGAGGTGCTTCAAAAGAGAGTAATTTGAGGGGCCTTGAGAAAAACTGAGGCCCTCCTTTAATCTAAAAATGGACATGAGGACATCTATTATTTTATTATACTATTTATTGAGTAAATTATGCTGCCAAAAAAACAATGAATGCCTGATTCCATTTTTGTTTATGTAAGTAACTAATGCATAGGTGCAAAAATAAAATACTTACTTTTATAATATTAAATTTTCACTTTAAAAACAAAGCTCTCAACAGCTCATCTCCCCCACCATCATTTACTATAAAATTCTGGTTCCTATTAAGGGAATTAATTTTTAGTGGCCTTTTTCTCAAACTATTTATCCTCAGAATACAAGATTTTCTATAATTTGGTAAGGTTAACATGTTTCCAAAGCTGGGATTAAAGGGTTCTGCTTCTTAACTGATTTTTGTCTTCATACTTATACTACCTATACTAGTTACTGCATTTACCACCATTCACCATAATCCACAGGGACAGAAATGTGTTACCGTAGTGTACATGCAACATGACCTTACTCTGGTCTTTCCAGTGAGGCCTGATACTAAGTGCCCAACACTCTGTTGAAAACTACCCGCTGGCAACTGCACCTCAGCCTCTCAATGTAAACCAACCCAGAAGGAAGAGAGAGGCAAGTCTCCAAGGGGAAGGGGAGGAGAGCTTCCCGGTGGGGCAAGTGTAAAGGGCACTGAGGTTGTAATGGCCTGATCCTCACGTGGTCCTTTCTAGCCTGTGTCACACCCTTGGCCCCAGATGACTCTCAAGATTGAAGGAACTTTAAATAGAAGTGGTTGATGGTGAACCTTGTCTACATGTTTCTGTTTAAAGTCTGAATAGCTCTCAAGGCAGGCTTAGGCTCTAGATACTACAATGAGGGGAAAGGAGGAAAATGCCTCTTAGTTAAGTTGGAGAGCAGGGAAGTATGCTGAGGCCTTTCAGTGAAGTCAGGTTCATGGGAACTCAGCAGCAGAAGCCTTTCAGGATTTCATTATTACACTATTAATACAGACAACAGGTGCTTAAAGTTTTCTAGCTGGAAGTCACAGTAGCCTTTAGGTTACAAAACAACTATAGAGAGACATACTTATAATATATCCCCTCAATTTAGCCTTTAGTATTAGTACAGGGCTGGGAGAAGAAATCTACCACATGTCAATCAATAGCTGAGATTTGCATATGGACATAAAATTTCCAGAAAAAAATTTAGAAAAAAAAAGCATTATGGCTTTAGCGTTGGGATAGAATAGAAATATAGAGAAAACTGAAACAAATTTAATATTTACTTTTTAAGCACTCTTACAAGAGTCACTTTGTTTTTTTCAGAATATAAAAGTTGAAAATGTTGATATACTCATGAAGTTGTCATATTTGATACATTTAGAAGTGTGAAGGTCCAGGAAAAACAAAAAAATCAGGACGGGAAAAAAAACCCTCTTCCTGTTCTTTTTTTTTTTTTTTCGCGGTACATGGGCCTCTCACTGTTGTGGCCTCTCCCGTTGTGGAGCACGGGCTCCGGACACGCAGGCTCAGCGGCCACGGCTCATGGGCTCAGCCGCTCCACGGCATGTGGGATCTTCCCGGACCGGGGCAAGAACCCGCGTTCCCTGCATCGGCAGGCAGACTCCCAACTACTGCGCCACCAGGGAAGCCCCTCTCTTCCTGTTCTTAATTCTTTCCTGCCTCCCTTACAATATACAGTAGCCGATTATGGCGGACTTCGGTAACACCAGGCCTTGAGCAGTCTTAACATATACTGATGAGTAAAAAGGGGGGACAAAACAAATACTTTCAGTCCTGCTCGTTTCCCCTTCTCTTGGCTGACAGTGGTGAAAGTTACTGACCTTCCAACTATACTGAACACAATAATATGGCAAGCACAAACCAGAAATAAAGAAAACGCTTAGCACACTGAAATGTGCTTTGGAGCCAACTTTACCCAAATAGCCACTTTTGAATTGAAACAAAGCCCAGAAAATGTTTCTGGACTATTCATTATGAAATGCCTGTAGAACATGCTGCAGAAGTTCTAAGGCCTGTCATATCTCAGCTGCCCAATAAACACTACATGGCGCTTTGCCAACTAGGGTAAAAGTAAACACCTGTGAAATAGTTAAAAAAAGAAACTGCTCTATGTGCCATCTAGTCAAAGGGAAAAAATGAATAAGCAAGGCTACCTCCAACAAAAACCGTGTTATGAAATAAGTTCTTTGTAAAATGTTGAAATTTTAAGTTAGAGGCCACAATATCTAGCATTACTAAAAGTCACATCAACCATACTTTGTCATAATCTCTATTTTCCTAAGAGAAAACAAACTAAAATATCACAAACCAGCTTAAATAATTGATTTGGTATATAGTATAAATATATTCTAGTATAGTGTACATCATTTGATTTATACTATAATTCTTTTAAATATAAAATAATTCAAGTAGTAAAATCACATTTAAGTCAAATATAACTTTAATGAATTTTAAAAACTTTTAAAGAGTAAATTCTATTAATTAAAACTCAAATTGATTCTCCTATCAATCTTTAAACAGTACAAAGTTTGTTTTACTCACCTCTCTAGCCACATTGCTTGTTTTCACTTCCTGTATAACTGTGCCGAAGATGATATAATCAACAACATCCTTTGGGACACTGGTCCGATGCAACAAACCCCTGCCAGCAGAAGTCCGAAGCAAAGAAACATTTCACACATTCAAGATAGTGCCATAGATCATCACATAAAGCACTACAGTTAACTTTGGTTAAAAGGTTAACTTTGGATTTAAGAGTAGAGATTGGATCTTTTCCTTAATTTGACAAGCGTGTGGCGCCTTAACAAAGAAATTAAAGTCTAATTTAAAAAGTCAACCTCTGATGCTCAATTTAAATAGGAAGAATCATAAATAATTTGGAATATAATCTATAAAAGTTTTAAATCACTATGTTGTACCCCTGAAACTAACATAAGATTATAAATCAACTATGCCCCAATAAAAAAATTTAAAAAAAATAATTTGAAATAGGATAAAACAGATACATAAACCAAAGTTTTCAGTCAAAAATCAAAGAGGGAGCTTCCCTGGTGGTGCAGTGGTTAGGACTCTGAGCTCCCAATGCAGCGGGCCCGGGTTCGATCCCTGGTCAGGAAACTAGATCCCACATGCGTGCTGCAACCAAGAGTTCGCATGCAACAACTAAGGAGCCCACCTGCTGTAACTAAGACCTGGTGCAACCAAATAAATAAATAAATATTTTTTAAAAAAAGAAGAAAAGAGAAACAAATAGAAAATTAAAGAGTAAAATCCCAGTTATGTTAAATTTGAAATATCAATATAAACACAATTTAAATAACATATATTTTACTAGTTCTGATCACTGATAGAGACTAGAAGCAATAACACTCCAGTAGGAATGAGCACATCTTGAACTCAGACTTGGTTTCTAAATGCCATTTACTAGCAAAGGTATTAACCTTTTTTTTTTAATTAATTAATTAATTATTTTTGGTTGCATTGGGTCTCTGTTGCTGTGTGCGGGCTTTCTCTAGTTGTGGCGAGCAGGGGCTACTCTTTGTTGCGGTGCGGAGGCTTCTCACTGAGGTGGCTTCTCTTGTTGCAGAGCACGGGCTCTAGGCGCGCGGGCTTCAGTAGTTGTGGCTCGCGGGCTCTAGAGCGCAGGCTCAGTAGCTGTGGCACATGAGCCTTGCTGCTCCACAGCATGCGGGATCTTCCCGGACCAGGGCTCGAACCCGTGTCCCCTGCATTGGCAGGCGGGTTCTTAACCACTGTGCCACCACGGAAGCCCTAAAGGTATTAACTTTTTTAAAAATGACTGAGGCCAGGTCTAAGGCAAGAAAAGTACAAAGTGAACCTCTCTGATCTTTTTTGTGCCAAAAATAAGAAAGCACTCAAAGATTAATGGGACCATAGCAAAAACAGGACCAAGGGTGTACACATTTGACAAAATTCATAAAACTATACACTTAAAAATATGTGCATTTTATTGTATGCAAATTACACTCAAAAAACAATATTATACTAAAAAACAAAGGGGCCATAGAAGCCAACTTGAAGGAACTCCCACAGATAAACTATGGGATAATCTGAGCTTCAAAAAGAACAGTGACCAAGCTTGGCTTTAACACAATTAATAAATAAAAATTTATAAGTCCACATCACTTAAAAAAAAAAAAGGAAAGCTGTTCTTTACAGAAAAATAACAACCAATAAATACAGGAGGAATAAAAGAACGATCAAAGTCATAATTTTGTAATCTCTAATGTAATAACTAATCCAGGCAAAAATTATCAATGAATGCTAAGACCATTTGGTCAAAGGTTGTTGGGGAACAAGATGTTTACATGGTGTTAAGGTATCACTTTACAGGTGACTTACTAATTGCAGAGGAAAAAAATACACCTTTATAATCAAGAGATCTAGTGTCTGATCGCCATGGCCGAGTGATTAGATTTAACATTACACATCATGCGCCTCTTAACATGATGCAATACCCATGCACTTTACCTATGAAGCATTCTTCCCAAACAATGTTCAACCTGAATCTGATCAAGCTTAGAGATCTAACTTCCAGTTTACAGGAAATTCAGAGGAAAGTTAAATATTACTACGAAGAAACATCCAGAATGTGGGACATTCTACAGGCCAGCTGGCCTGGTCTTTTCAAAAAGTCACTCTCGTGGCGGGTAGAGTGGAGGGATATCCTAAATTAAAAGAGACCAAAGAGACATGTTCATTTGTAATATGAACTTTGACCAGGTCCTGGTTTGGAAAAAAAAAAATGAAAAGAAAGGGCATTCTTGGAACAAGTGTGGGGGATTTGACTATGAACTGGATACTAGAAGTTATCATACAATCATTATCATCTTAGCTATGGTAATGGTATTGTGGATAACAGAGAAGGTCCTCATTCTTAGGAGTACTAGCTGAAGAATTTAAGGCTGAAGTATCAAGATGCCTGAAACAATGTCAAATGCTTAAAACCATATAGCTATAGAAAATATGGCAAAATAATAACACTTATTAATGCTAAGTGAGGGGTATTTAGGTGTTCACTTTCAATTTTATTGTACAGTTGACATTTTTTAAGACAGAAAGTTGAGGAAAAACCTGTAAATCTCCAGCCTGGGACCATAATCAGAAACAGCACCATTATCAGGAATGGGAAAGTAAGCTGGCTTCAGGGAAAAGATAATTTTTATTTTTTACATGCTGAGCTTGAGATACCTAAGAAAACAGGTCAAATTTAGAGATTTGGAAGTCCTCTACATAAAAAAATAAAGATTAAGTAGATGAGATTTTTAGGGAAAAGCATGCACGCAGAGAAATGCAAAGTTCTAAGGACTAAAACTTACAAAATACCTTTAAAAACGAGATAGAAGAAGGGATCCAGTTTTTTAAGAAGTAGAAAAGAATCAGTCAGAAAATGGAAGGAAAACCGTAACGGCGTAATATGAAGTCAAAGGAAGACAGTTTCAAGTACAGCTGACAGTGTCAAATGCTACAGAAGACAAAGTCATTGAGGTCTGAGAAAACATGGGTGCGTTTAGTGATTACACAGTCATTATTAAGAGAAGCTTCCAAAGTAGTTACTGTAGAGCAGTGGGAATGGAAGCAATTATGGGATTAAGGAGAATAAATGGATAGTCAGAAAAGAAAAGCAACTGCTGCTTTCATTCATTCTTAGAGGCTGGCAGGAAGAGGACAAACAGAACAAGATGGGCAAAAAGGTGCAAAGAAGGGTTTTTTCAAACTATGAAAGACCTGTAGCTGCTTAAAGACACACAGGCAAAGCATCAATGAATGATAATGCCTTACATGTTGACTCTCATCAAATTATTCTTCCATCTGAATCTCATGCAACCACATCTAATTTTACATTTTTATTTGGTTTGCACAGGAACCTTCAGGGCTCATTCTAGGCTTTTTTCTAGATAAATAACCACATCCCCATCCCCCCAGGGATACCAAAATCTGAGGATGCTCGTGTCCGTTAAATGAAATGGCAGAGTACAGTTGCTCCTCTGTATACACAGGTTCTGCATCTGTATTTGCATTATTTGTTCAGCTATCCTCGTACAGTATGAAGTTTCTAAGATAATCATCAAATATATGTATTGTATTGACTAGCCTGATCAATCTAGCCCCACATTGTTTACAACCGGCAGCTAGCTAGAGTACTCATTAAGGAATACTGTCATGCCAAGAAATAGTCACGCCTACAAAATAAAGGTCGCTGACATCCACCAGCTGCTTGAATTTGTGTAGCACATATGGCTAAAACGAAGAATAAATGAATCTGATAGAATCTACTGTTTTTTCTCACCACATAAAAGTTAACATATCTTAGATATGGAAATTCCATTAAGCATGCTATTTCAAGTGTAAAAACTGGAGAAGAGTACTTTTAATGAAGAACTAAAATGAAACTGCATTTACTTACGAAAGCGCTGCTCTAGCCAAATCATGTGGCATCAGGTCTTTATATCTGGGGAAAGAAAATAGTTTAAACCAAAAGCCTAGAGCTTTAATAAAAAATGTTTTTCATTCTGTTTGAAATACCTAAAGAAATAATCTAACATATGATGCTATAAATGCACTTAACATCATTCCAAATGAAGAAATAGTGTGACTTTGCTATTTGTCAGCCTTAAAAGTCTGGCAAGCCTTGACTCCTTTAGAGCTGGCTAAGAAGCGAACAAGAATCTTGCCTACTGTCGTATTGTTCAGCATGACACATGTTAAATATTTAACATTTAATATTTTATTTAATAAAATATTTTTATTTAAACCCCACCTTTTAAGTTCTCCTTTATTTTATTTTATTTATTTTTATTTTTTTTGCGGTACGCGGGCCTCTCACTGTTGTGGCCTCTCCCGTTGGCGAAACACAGGCTCCGGACGTGCAGGCTCAGCGGCCATGGCTCACGGGCCCAGCCGCTCCACGGCATGTGGGATCTTCCCAGACCGGGGCACGAACCCGCGTCCCCTGCATCGGCAGGTGGACTCTCAACCACTATGCCACCAGGGAAGCCCTCCTTTATTTTATTTTTTAAAAATTCATTATTTATTTTGTGATGCCTCAAGGGACATGAGCAATATATTAGGACTTTTAAGAAAATTTTGTTTTGAAGTAATTTGAGGTTTACAAAGAATTGGAAAGATAAAACAGAGTTCCTGTATACCCTTTACCCTGCTTCCTCTAAAGCTAATCTTACATAACCATGATGTACTTGTCAAAACTAAGAAATTAATACTGGCACAATACAATTCACTAAGCTACTAACTTTATCTGGACCTCACCAGTTTTTCCACTAATGCCCTTTTACTGGTCTGTTCCAGTAAAAGGGTATTATGCATTTTGTTGTCATGCTTCCTTAATCTATGCATTTTTTTGTCATGCTTCTATGCATTTTGTTGTCATGCTTCCTTAATCTCCTCCAATCAGTGAAGTTTCTCAGTATTTCCTTATCTTTCTTGACCTTGACACTTGGAAGACTAGGGTTATGGATATGAGGGAAGTGTATCACAGAGGTAAAGTGCGCTTCCCACTGCTTCTTATCAGAGTGTACGTGATAGCAACATGACTTATTACTGGTGATGTTAACTTGATCACTTGGTTAAAGTATGGTTTTCTTCACTCTTTTTCCCTTTCTGAACTCAATTTGTTAGAAATGAGTCACTACTCTGGCCCTTACTCAAGGGGAGAAGAATTAAGCTCTACTTCCTAGTGGAAAAAGTAACAAAGAAATTATGGACACATGTTAAAATCATCACAGTAGTTAATAAATACTTGAGGGGAGAGAGTTGAGGCTATGCAAATAACTTGTTTCTTCTTAACATTTCTCACCCACTAATTTTAGCATTCATTCGTAGATCCTGGTTGCAGCAATTATTCCTGTGGTGTTCTAATGGTGATTTATTTATTTATTTTCCTCATTCCTTCTGCATGTATTAATTGAAATTATTCTTTAAGAAAGATTTGTCCTTTCTCTTTTATTTTTTATTCAATCATTTATTTATATCAGATTGAACTCATAGATATCTGATGTATTCTTTGGGTTATGGTATAATACCATGATAACTTATTAATTAAATTGTTCCAGGTTTTGTCATTGAAAGTTATTTTAGGTTGGTCCTGTCTCTATTTTTTTTTTTTTTTTGGCGGAGCCGCATGGCTTGCAGGATCTTAGTTGCCTGACCAGGGATTGAACCTGGGCCCCTGGCAACGGAAGCACCAAGTCCTAACCACTGGACTGCCAGGGGATTCCCAGTCCTGTGTCCTATTGACATGCTCCATTTTTTTTTAAATTAATTAATTAATTAATTTTTATTTTTGGCTGCGTTGGGTCTTCGTTTCTGTGCGAGGGCTTTCTCTAGTTGTGGCAAGCGGCGGCTACTCTTCATTGCAGTGCGCGGGCCTCTCTCTCACTATCGCAGCCTCTCTTGTTGCGGAGCACAGGCTCCAGACACACAGGCTCATTAGTTGTAGCTCACGGGGCTAGCTGCTCCATGGCATGTGGGATCCTCCCAGACCAGGGCTCGAACCCGTGTCCCCTACATTTGCAGGAAGACTCTCAACCACTGCGCCACCAGGGAAGCCCTATTTTTTTTAAGCACTTCTTTACTTTCTGGCACTCCAAAATGCTCCAGGTGCATCTTGTATTTTTTTTTGGCCCAGACCTAGTCATTCTTCTAGGAAGCCTGGTTCCTTCTACTGAAGAATGGGTATTTAGAAACCAAGATGTGGATGTGAACTCTGTTTGTCTATTTAAATTTAAAAAATAAATTCCCTTTATTTTATTTATTTATTTTTTTGCGCGGTACGCGGGCCTCTCACTGTTGTGGCCTCTCCCGTTGTGGAACACAGGCTCCGGATGTGCAGGCTCAGCAGCCATGGCTCACGGGCCCAGCCGCTCCGCGGCATGTGGGATCTTCCCGGCCCGGGGCACAAACCCGTGTCCCCTGCATCGGCAGGCGGACTCTCAACAACTGCCCTTTATTTTTAAGTCAAAGATTTAACCATTGGATTAAATAAGAATATTCATTCTTTAAATTCCTAAAAATTAAAACCTAAAAAATCCAAAAATGTTTTTATTTTTACTCTGAATCACAGAAGAATCATCGGTAGTTTTAAAAATCTTTCATAGGTAAAACCAGTTCCCTCAAATTTAGAGCAGAATAACTTGGGAAAAAGTTGTGTGTCAATTTTAAAATGTCTGAACCATAATTATTCAGCATTTTACAATCTTTATTCTCATGCTCCTATACCCCTCTCTACCAGGATGCCTGACAGACTCCCAAATGTCACTGCTGCAGTGTGCTCCTAAGAGTGCTTCCAAAGTGCTTCCTGCCTCTAAGAAAAACTTGGTCTTTCAAATATCACTCAAGTTGAAAGCAAACCTTCTTCAAATTAAACAGGAAAAGATCTTTTTCTACCTAGAAAATGATCTTCTATTATAGAAGACTCATTTGTCACCTCAATCATAAGATTAACAATATGACTTAACTATTTGTCTTCTTTATAAATTCTTCCTTCTATATTATTTTTTGGTCACTTTTGTTCTGTACATGAATATTACCTTAAAATTTTTATTCTTTCTTCTCTATTAATTATATTTTCTTACGTTACTCAATGCTCTTCTCTGTGTCACTAAATTACTCATGAACTTTATCTTCTTTCTCAATTAGGATCCTAAATTAAACTAAAACACAATAATAAAACACAACAAAAGGAATAAACCCTATGCTAATGTGCTGAATATCTCAAACTTCACGCAAATACCAATTATCAAAGCAAATGTTTAAATAATGTAAGTAAATATAGTTGAGCGTGTTTGTATTTTTTTTAACAGCTAGTAAAACAGTTGGAATCAAACTTCTACACAGTATACAAACAGCCCTTCCTAGCCAAGAACTTTCTTCTCTTGATGGAACTTTCTTTTCCTACCGTGTTACTGCTGAGTACAGGGAGGATCCCCTCTTATCACTTCCCTGCCGCTAAAGCTTCAGATTCTTACTCTTACTGCTGTTGTGTCAGTACAGGAAAGTTATAATACTATATTGAGAGAAGAGGGAGAATGAAGAAACTTCACCAGCATTCACTTATATAAGAAAAATACTCTCTAGGTTCTAAACCATCGTTTAAAAATGAATGTTTATCGTTTGTGTACGTATGCACGTGCACACATACACACACACAGGTCTGTATCTTCCACAAATGGTGCCATTATACACACTGCTCTGAACCTCGCTTTTTACACCTAACATATCTTCAAGATCTTCCCATATTAGTACAGAAAGGTCTCGTTATTTTTAGCAGATGCCTGGCATTCCCTAGCAATATTTTTCAGTTAGTAACTGTTACTTCAAAATACAAACAATAGAACAATCTAAACAGAATAGAACCAATGTTTCATTTAGTTTGCACCTAGTTCCCAAAGTCCATCGTCAACTTTTGGACAGCCTGGGCCTCACTTGGGGACAAGAAAGGAGGAGAAAAGTCTAGGGAGAATAGCAGTTTGGTTCTGGGGAACCTGGGGGCTGGTCTAGGATCATTCTTATTCCATTTATTTGGGGTTGTGCTGTACCAGGGTTTGGACCAGTCCATCAACTCCAATTCTGACAATTTCCAGGAAACCAAAGCCACAGATTAAAGGCCCTTCAGAATGCCCATGGGCCCACATCCTCCATATTCAAACTTCTGAAGAGGCACAGAAACAACGTACAGTACTTCTCTTCAGATGAGGAAAGGATATCTCTGTTAGAAGCAAACTGTCTGGTCCCACACTAGGTGTTTAAAATATGACTGGTTCAGTCTAACACTACATGAGGCTTACTCAGCAGAATGGATAAAAAACAAATTTTGTCATTATTTCACCACTGGCTTGACTTATTCTGTATTAATTTCATGAAAATGTTTTTCATATATTAGTCCACTAGCAATAGTATTACCTACTGGGTTACACTGACAAAGATCCCTTTTGAAAGTGCCTTAAAAAAAGGAATAAATAAAGTACATGGGGTGATGGATGTGTTAATTAACTCAACTGTGGTAATCATTCCATAATGTATATACATATATATATATATATATATATATATAGTTTTTTGAATATGTATATATATACAGTTATTATTTGTTAACCACACCTCAATACAGCTGGAGAGAAAAAAGAAAAAGACAGAAAGAAAGAACATGTAGCAAAATCATTTCATACTTACGAAGTGCCTGACAGCAAAAATGGAGTGCGGACACCATCTACCACCACAATGTTCCTCATGTTGGGTTTGGCTAAGGTTTGCTTCGATTTCGCCTGGACAGCTTTAAGAGAAAGTTCAAAGAACAATTAACTAAAATATATGAAGTCAGGGATTTCCCTAGCAGTCCAGTGGTTAAGATTTCACCTTCCAATGCAGGGGGTGCGGGTTGGATCCCTGTCAGGGAGCTACGATCCCACATACCTCGGGGACAAAAAAAACACAAAAACATAAAACAGAAGCAGTATTGTTAACAAATTCGATAAACACTTTAAAAATGGTCCACATCAAAAAAATCTTAAAAAAATAAAATAAAATATATGAAGTCAAATGACTTTTTACATTTTTAAAGACAGACATTCTAAGAAGAATTGTATCATTCAATGCCAAGTTGCATTTGTCATTTACCAAACCACTTCAACTAAAAAAAAAAAAAGATTAAGAAATTAACTAGCATTTACAAATTTCCAAAAAATATTTAAATACACAGATTATACCTAATGATAAGGTTGTTTATGCCATTAACAAATTGTTTTTGGTTTTTTTTTTTTTTTTTTTTTTTTTTGCGGTACTCTGGCCTCTCACTGTTGTGGCCTCTCCCGTTGCGGAGCACAGGCTCCGGATGCGCAGGCTCAGCGGCCATGGCTCACGGGCCCAGCCGCTCTGCGGCATGTGGGATCTTCCCGGACCGGGGCACGAACCCGTGTCCCCTGCATCGGCAGGCGGACTCTCAACCACTGCGCCACCAGGGAAGCCCTTTTGGGTTTTTTTTAATCAAATGTTTGACAATCTATTCCACTGAAAGCAACCAATTAAGTCTGCCCTTAATATTAGAAGTTACAATGACTGATATCGTTTAGTCTTCATATAGCTTAATATTCTTGCTTTTCTATGTAGAAATAAAGGCATTTGGTTGGTGACTACTGCCATTCTACAAAAACCCAGAATGCTTCCTGAATTCTGGCTCAATTTGTCTAGTTATTTTCTAACATCAAAAGAGCAACCTTGGGGCTTCCCTGGTGGCGCAGTGGTTAGGAATCCGCCTGCCAATGCACGGGACACGGGTTCGAGCCCTGGCCCGGGAAGATCCCACATGCCGCGAAGCAACTAAGCCCGTGCACCACAACTACTGAGCCCACACGCCTACAGCCCGCGAGCCGCAACTACTGAAGCCCGTGCTCTGCAATAAGAAGCCTGTGCACCACAACGAAGAGTAGCCCCCGCTCGCCACAACTAGAGAAAGCCCGTGTGCAGCAACAAAGACCCAACGCAGCCAAAAATAAATATATAAAATAAATTTTAAAAAAAGAGAGCAACCTTTCTCTAATGTTTTAATTAAAAAATAAAAACATGAACATATCCTGGTGGTTAAAAGAAGAGAAAGATAAACATAACTAAAATATGGAGAGTAAAACTAAAGTTCCCTCTTTATGTCCTCTGCTGCCATGTAATTTCCTTCCCAGAGGTAGATACTGCTAATTTGGTGTATATACTTTACCACTTTTTTTCTTTTTATGCATGTACATGCACACACTTGTGTATTATGTTTACTTTTCTGACTTAACAATATAGCTGGAAGATCTCTGTGTTTGTGTACCTACATGTGTCTCATTCTTTTCTTATTGCTGTTAATGTTGAAATTCATCTCCTATCACCATTCCTTCATTACCAGAGATAGAGAAAAATCCTAAAGAATTGGGAATAAAATTTTAACAATCACCTTACCACAACCACTTATGTCACAGAGAGCTACTTATGATAAATATCTACAACCAACTTTAAGAAAATAGTAGTGAAAGCTAAGAGTCATGATAAAATGGGGTACAAAGATTCTCCTCGCAGCTCTAATTGGTTGGTGAAGGAGATAAAGGCACGTGGAGATTATCAAGGAGACTGTAGCAAAAACAAGCATGTGGTGCTAATGGCCAAAATAAAGGCAGTATCATTGTGAATGGAAAGGAAGGGACCAATACAAGAGATTTTATAAAGGAAGACTATGTATTTTGGTGACCAATCAGATATGGAAAGAAAGGAAAACAGGATTATAAAGGAAGCTTAGAGACTAAGAAAACCTAGTTATTCTACACAGAGTAAGAACTGGTTTTGGAAGAAAAGTGACCTCAATTTTAAACATGCTAACTCTGAGGTGATGGAGAGACACCCAGGTGGATATGTACATTTGACAGAGAGCTAGAAATGCAAAACTAAAGCTCCAAAGAGAAGTGAGGTGTAGCTGGGAGAGCCATGATATATATGCATTTTAGAATACAGAAGAGGCAGATGCCCCCTTGGTCTTGCCTGCCACTCCCTTACGTTGTACTCAATAAATCTCGCTTTCTACCCTCACTTCTGGCTTGGTAAATTCTTTTACCACCCATGTTGCCAGCCCCATCGTCACACTCTGTGGGCATTTTGAAGGCCAGTACAGGGATCAGACTGCTCTCTCCTCTCTCTGCCTTTTCTGATCCGTCTTCCAACAGGTAGCGATCGGCCTGCTGACTCAGGGCAAATGGCCATGTCTACTCCTTGGTGGAACCCAAAGGCCTCCAGGACGAGACTCCAACTTGCTCTCGCCCTAAGGGGTACATTCTGGAAATGGTCTTTTCTCCTCTTCAACACTGCCGATGGTCTGAGGTCTCTGGAGACCGGGGACTGCGTATCCTGGCCAAGGCGACTCTTCAGCGGACCTAAAACCCAGTCCCATACCGACCAACCGTCCCTGCCTAATCGGGTGGCAATGTCCTTTGGCCCTAGCCTTGGTACTCCTCACTTCCAATGCCTGGTGCAGTCGGCAGCAGCGGCTTGGCGAATCCAGGCATGCTGTGAGATTCCCCTTCTCTTTCCATCTTCCCTTGAGGACCGTCCATCCTGATCCACCAACATTTCCAGGTACTTCAAGTGAGTCACTACAAAAACGATTTCATTCCATCAAGCTACAAATGGTGACAAGACAAGGATTCCAACCCCTAGAATCAATATAGTTGACTACTCTTGAACAGGCCTCCCCAAATTTCTATTCACACACAGCCCCATAGCTGATCAGCAAAGCCAACTGGGACCCCACATCGCCCCTTCTCAGCACAAGTAGCATGAGATGATATTGTCACCCAGATGTCAGTGATTTGACTTTGCTGATCTGTTGGTGGGAAATATGGAGCTTAACAATACAACAGCCATCTTAGGTTGGGGAGGTCCTTTCAAGATAAGACAATCACACCCTCCCCCAATGGAAATTACCAACAGTCGCAAGCAGTTGGTATACCAGGAAGATTGAGCTATGACATACGCAGCCCTAACCACCATATGGGTAGAACATTAACCCAAGGGTGACCAAAAGAGACCAAAAAGAAGCCCAGTTTCTCTTCCCCCAGGGAAGACCCCCTCTTGGTCTCGCCCGCTGCTCCCTCGCAGTGTACTCAATAAATCTCGCTTTCTACCCTCAAAAAAAAAAGAAGAAAAGCAGAGACATATTTTGCAGTGCCTGCTCACCCATAGCCCCCTCTAAATGGAGCTGCCCTGCTTAGAGTCCCTGCAAAGGGGCAATCATAGACGTCATGTCCCTAAGCCCACACCCAAAGCTGGTTAGATTCAGGGTGGGTACTACCTGACTACCTGAAGTCAATCCATAGAGTGGCCAACCAGTAACCCACGTCATCTACCTACAAGTGATAAGCTGCATCTGATTCTCTCTCACAGGAATCTAAGCAAAGCATGGAGAAAAATACCAATTAGTTGAAGCTGAAAAAATGCCATGAGGAAGAACCAGGGTGATAATAAACGGAAATTATTTTTAAGGCAGAGTTATGGGGCAGCAAAAACCCTGAGCGAGCAAAGAAGTCAGCAAGAGGAGTGAAGAAGAATATATATAAAGAGAAGCAGGAAGGCCAGGAAAGTGACACACCATGTGGCCATGACTGAGACAAAGTGGCTGCCCCTAGAGCTGCTTGGTTCCTAATACCTCCCTACCTGTAGTATTCAAGCCCTCTTATCCTTAACTTGAGTGGGCCCCTTACTCACAATAAAAGACACTTGGTTTTATGATCTCCCTACATTTAGAGGGCAGAGAGAAAATGTGGGACAGAGGGTAAACTTGAGAGGTAGTAGGAGACTGAGGAGAAAACAGTACATGAAAGCAAAGGCAGGAGAGTATCAAGGAGCAGAGGATGGTCAAATATTTCAACACTCAAGGAGAATGAGGACTGAAAAAAGGCTGCTAAGTTTGAAGATCTGCAGATTACTTGTGACTGACCTTGGACAGAATAAAGTGATGAGAGGAAAAGTCAGATGACATACCATCACATCATTCCACTTTTTAAGAACTGACCGCATGGTTCCTTTTACACACTTTCAGATAAAATTCAAATTCCTAACTCTTCTAACAAATTCCTTGCTTTACTTGGTTCCAACTGAATGATCCAAAAACGTTCTCCGCCACTTCTCAACATGTAGCAAGATGAGCAAGCCCCCAGTCCCTCACAGCCTTGACTTCATTGCACACCCCTTGCCTTCATTCATACACCCTCCCATCTGAGTGGCTCCTTTCTGTCCATCTAATCCTTACCTACTCTTAAGGCCTAGTTCACATTCCACCTCCTAAATAAAGCCTTCCCTGATAACTACAGCCACCTGTAGTTCCTGCCTCTTAACTTCTAGGGCAACCTATGGGGCAAAAATTGGCCAAACAATTTAGCATATTATAAAGTAATTAAAGTAATACTGGAAGTCACATTTAAAAATAATATTCATTATATATTGAACAGTCACCCAAAGGACTCTAATTCTGTTTCATGTGCACACTGGCTCCTAATCACTTCAGAATTTTCTCAAAGGCTCTTTTTTATATATTCCACAGTGCTATGCGCACTCAGTAGCAATGTACTATAAGAATCTGAATAGGGGGTTAAAATATCTGGGTGCTAGTCCCTGCTCTGCCAAAAATTTCTTAGTTGCAAATATGGGAGCTAGATTAGATTACCTCAAGCACTCCTCCCAACTCCAAACCTAGTATTCTATGGCTGACATATACATTCTGTATTTCACATACATAATTAAAATCAAAGCAGAGGGCTTCCCTCGTGGCGCAGTGGTTAAGAATCCGCCTGCCAATGCAGGGGACACAGGTTCGATTCCTGGCCCAGGAAGATTCCACATGCCACGGAGCAACTAAGCCCATGTGCCACAACTACTGGGCCTGTGCTTAGAGCCCGTGACCCACAACTACTGAGCCCGCATGCCACAACTACTGAAGCCCATGTGCCTAGAGCCTGTGCTCCGCAACGAGAAGCCACCAGAATGAGAAGCCTGCGCGCTGCAATGAAGAGTAGCCCCCACTCGCCGCATCCAGAGAAAAGCCCATGCACAGCAACGAAGACCCAACGCAGCCAAAAAAAAAAAAAAAAAAAAAAAAAAAAAAAAAATCAGGGCTTCCCTGGTGGCACAGTGATTAAGAATCCACCTGCCAATGCAGGGTACACAGGTTTGAGCCCTGGTCCGGGAAGATCCCACATGCCACGGAGCAACTAAGCCCGCGTGCCACAATTACTGAAGCCCACGTGCCTAGAGCCCGTGCTCCGCAACGAGAAGCCACTGCAATGAGAAGCCCATGCACCGCAACGAAGAGTAGTCCTCGCTCACCGCAACTAGAGAAAGCCCGCGCACAGTAACGAAGACCCAACGCAGCCAAAAATAAATAAATAAATAAACAAAAAAACCTTTCATTTAAAAAAAAATCAATCAAAGCAGAGAGAAGACATGCCATGTATTATACCATTGTTTTATATATATGTATGTCTGTGGATATAGATATATAGATAAACAGATGGTCCTTGACTTTCCATGGTTCAACTTATGAATTTTTAACTTTAGGATGGTGCAAAAGCAATACACATTCAGTAGAAACCATACTTTGAATTCTGAATTTTCATTTTTTTCCCAGGCTAGCAGTAAGTGGTATGATACTCTCTCATGATGCTGGGCAGCAGTGAGCCATAGCTCCCAGTCAGTCACACAATCACAGGGGTAAACAACCAATACACTTACAACCATTCTATACTCATACAACCATTCTGTTTTTCACTTTCAGTACAACATTCAATAAATTACATGACATTCAATACTTTATTATAAAATAGGCCTGTGTTAGATGATTTTGCCCAATGTGTTCTGAGCATGTTTAAGGTAGGCTAGGCTAAGCTATGATGTTTGGTAGATTAGATGTACTAAATGCATTTTTGACTTACAATATATTCTTTTTTTTTTAACAAACTTATTCATTTATTTATTTATTTTTGGCTGCATTGGGTCTTCGTTGCTGAGCATGGGCGTTTCTCTAGTTGTGACAAGTGGGGGCTACTCTTTGTTGTGGTGCGCAGGCTTCTCGTTGCAGTGGCTTCTCTTGTTGCAGAGCACAGGTTGTAGGTGCATGGGCTTCAGTAGTTGTGGCACACGGGCTCAGTAGTCGTGGTTTGCGGGCTCTAGAGCACAGGCTCAGTAGTTGTGGCGCACAGGCTTAGTTGCTCTGCGGCAGGTGGGATCTTCCCGGACCAAGGATCAAACCCACGTCCCCTGCATTGGCAGGCGGATTCTTAACCACTGTGCCACCAGGGAAGTCCTGACTTACAATATTTTCAACTTATGATGGATTTGTCAGGATGTAACCCTATTGTAAGTCAAGGAAGATGCATAGTATATATAGCCATTGAATAAGTCAAAATTTCCATCAGACACATTTCCAGTCAATCTGATGACTGCAAACATCAATAAACCTGTATCCCTCTATTCTAATTCCTTCATCCTAACAGCACCGTCAAGCATATTCACATGCAATTCAAGAGGAACTAGTTACAAAATTATTGCAACCTAAAACCTGTTCAGCATGGGTACATTCCCACTCCCTCCCCTCAAATCAGCTGGTTACATTCCTTTGTCTTATCATGTGCCCTCTTGCACCACTATCACCATCAACGTTAACAGAAATTGCTAGGACAGTGTTAGACACCAGGGACTCTAAAAGGCTTAAGTCTCAGAAGGGCTCACAACATAGTTGGGGAGACAGAAACACAAAACACTTTAAGAGCAATATGAAAAAGAATACTCTATGTGCCAGAAAAATGCCTTCCCTCTGTTGGTATGCAATGTGACCTTCTTCTGGTTGGCAAAGAATCAGATCTATCTGTCTGACTGCAAAGTCCTGGGTGAACATTAGAATTAGGGAAAAGGTGAAATGAGATAGAAAGGAATTATTCTTTGTGAGCCTATACAAATCTATATTCTAATTAGAATTTAGAGGCCACAGAAAATATATTTGTGACATGACAACGTGAAACTTTTCTAGGTGAGATTAGGCAACAGACCCCTGATAATATACTTATGTAAAACAATATAAAAATATCATCTTGTACATATATATATATATATATATATATATTTTTTTTTTTTTTTTGCCGAGCCACGTGATATGCGGGATCTTTATTCCCCAACCAGAGATCGAACCCATACCCCCTGCAGTGGAAGCACAGAGTCCTAACCACTGGACCTCCAGGGAATTCCTACCTTGTACTTATATTGAGCTTACAGTTTTCAAAGTGCTGTGAAATATCTTCATAACTACTTGAGGTTAACAAGACTAAAATTATTATTCTTTTTTAGATAAAGAAACTAAAGCACAGGGAAGTAAAGTGATCGGTTCAAGGCCAAACTGCCCAGAAAGAAGTAGAACTGGAACAGAGCAGAGGTCTTCTGAATCCTAGTAAGACGCTTTTTCTATTAAGCTATTATTCAAGTAGAAACACCATAATAAAACCAAAATCAAAAGTCATAGTCAATACAGGACCCAGGCAAGGAGAACCTGTCTGGGGATTTTTAGCGCTGGCCAGTGAAGATACATACCTACAGTAGGTTCTGCAAAAGTATGTATTCAACAGTGAAGAAGTCTTTACCAAGGGTCTAAAAGACCATATAAAATCAACAAATTTCCTTCCTTTTTCATTTCATACTGACTGAACAACCTTCTGTTATTAACTGGTTCCACAGTCACACCTATTTCACGCACGCATCCTCTTGCACATGGACTAAGAGGATATTCATTAACAGAGAAGCCTGTCACTGAAAGTTTGAAAAGTTACCTTTTGGCTCCACAGCAGTCTCCAGAGTGTTTGTACGCTAATCATCTCTAGGACTGACAGCCAGTAGCTGATTAAACTGACCAGTAAGGTTCATGGAACCTCCGTGACTCCATCAGGCTCCATATCCCAGAAAGCAGCCTCCTGTCAACATCCTCGAGCCCACCCTACACCATGTACTATTGTTACTGATTGGTCCTACATTGTTTTAATTTAAAGGCAACAGTGATGTTCATGTTGCTCAAAAAAAGCAAACTAGTTTTGGTTTTTATTCAAAATTCACAAATTTAGATTCTAGAATCTAACTTCTAAATCAGACTTTTTTTTTTCTTTTCTTTCTTTCTTTTTTTTTTACAAATTACTGTACCTGCGGCAGCTCGTAACTGGGAGGAACAGCTCAGAGGTCTCACAGCTGGAAGACAAAATAAAGTGTTTACAAAAAGCAGTACAATTCCATGTCTGTGCAAGATGCTTACACAACCAAATCTAATCTTAAAAAGAAAGTACAAATGAAACTTACAAAATCTGAGGGCCCATTGTGATGTACTGGGAAGATATTTTAAAGTGTAAGTCAAGAGGGAAGTCATTCTTAAATCTAAAAAGAGAAGAAAAAGACTTTCTGGGTTATTTGAACAATTTGTAGCTTAGAGTGTAGTCTATGATCTCTGATATCTCATCCATGACTACTATAAAATACTTTAAAATTTACTCTATTACCAACTACCCTTCCTCTAATAATATAATAGCTACACTGACATAGTATACAAACCACTAATCTAAGCAGTAACCCATCTAATCCTCACAAGGACCTATGAAGTACGCATGATTATTTACACCCTTCGTAAGAGATGAGAAACGGAGGCATACAGGGATTGAAAGACTAGTAAGAGGCAGAGCTGTGATTTGAAGCCAGATAGTCTAGCTCCAGAGTTTATGTTTTTCTCTAGGGCCAAAGGAGTAGAGCCTGCTGGACATGATCATGAAGCTACCAATGTGAACTTCCTGATTTTGATGGTTGTATTGTGATTATGCAGAATGCCTTATGGAATGTTTGTATTTGAAGGGGATACACACTAAAGTATTCAGAGATAGTGCAGTATCACATCTTAACTGCTGTAAGAAAAAGAAGTTCATACACTGCACTTGCTACTTTTTTATAAGCTTGATATTATTTCAAAATAATAAAAATATAAACCCCTCTATATTAAAATATATTAAATATATTAAATACTTCCCTAAATTCCCAAAAATGAGTTCCTACAAATCAGTAAGAAAAAAATTGGCAAAGGATATGAACAAACTGTTCACAGAAATAGAAATATCAATACAAATGGCTCTCAGATACATGAAAAGATGTTCAATCCTCATTCATAAGGGAAATACAAATTAAAACGGCACAGAGGTATAATATTTGACTTAAAGGTCTGATATTCATCATGTGGTAGCCTGCACACACAGGCTCTCTCATATACTGCTGCTGAGGGTGTAAACTGATGGCACCTCCACAGATGCATCACTATGGAGGGCAATTTGGCAATTATTGTAACTGTAAAAAACTGCAACTGCACCTAGCTTTTGATCAGTAATTCCACTTCCCTGAATTTTTATTTACATAGTTGGTCTGTGTAAACAAAAGAATACATCAGAAATGATGAGATGTCACTTTTGAGATTAGGCTGTTAAGAGATCCTGCAGCTCCCGTCTTGGTCCGTCTCTCAGATCACTCGGTCTAGGGGAAGCCAGCTGGCACCTCAGGAGCAGCCCGATGAAGAGGCTCTGGTGATGAGGAACTGACACCTCCTGCCAACAGCCATGTGACTGAGCTTGGAAGTGAATCCTCTAGCACAGACAAGCTTTCAGATGACTACAGCCCTCGCCAGCATTCTGACTGCAACCTCATGAGAAAGTCAAAGTCAGAACGACCCAGCTAATTTGCCCCCAAATCCCTGACCGTCAGAAACTGTATGAGATAATCAATTTTTACTGTTTTAAGCTGCTAAATTTTGGAGTAATTTGTTAAACAGCAACAGCCAATATAAAAGCCTTGTTTAACTTTTCTTAGGTCTTCACTGACTAAAAAGAGATGCCCTGTGGCTTCCAAAAAGAAAAAAAAAAATCACATTTACCAAATATATGGATTGGAAAGAGATGGAGGAGTCCAACCTCTAGGCTTACCAGCCTAGGTATACTCAAGGGACTCTGGCCAGGGAGACACAAATTGGCCCATGAGATGGGCACCACTTTTCCAGAAGCTACATTTGATGCCACTTGAGTCTGGAATATAAACCCCCATAAGTAAAGTTCCTCTTGAAATAAAATTCATGAAACTAGTCAAGAAAATATTGATTGAAAAAAAGGGGGACCTTGCTCTAACAGATATCAAAACTTTCTATAAAGTACCAGTAATTAAACAGTTCAATTCTGGCACAGTAATAAATGAAACTAATCAACAGAACAGGATGTAGCAAGTTCAGAAGCATACTCATGTGTATGAGAATTTAGTATGTAATAAAGATAACATTTCAAATAAGTGGGAGAAAGGTGAATTACTCAATAGATTTGTTGGGAAAATGGCTAACCATCTGAAAAAAAATTAGATCCATAGCTCACACTTATAAGTACAAATTACAGATGCATTAATCTAAATATATATTTTTCTAGCTTACTACAAGAATATATCAGAGAATATTTTTATAATCTTGGGGAAAGGCTTCCAACATATGGTATAAAACCCAGAGGCCATAATGGAAAAGAATAACTAAAAGAACTGATTAAAGAAGCATTTAAAATATCTACATAGCAAAAGACACTAAAATAAAGTTAAAAGGCAAACAATAGATTCAGAGAAAGTATTTGTAACATGGAAAACAAAGGGCTAAACCCCATACTCCATAAAGAACTTCTACAAATTACAGGAAAAAGAGAAACAATCTATAATGGAATCTGCGGTTTTCACCCCAATATCCATTTCACACCATTATGTAGTTGTCACATGTGGTTTACATGGGACTGAATCCAGCTCAACTCCAGGGTTTAAACCAATCAGAATAATCTCATTCTCTTTGGTTCAGGCAACCAAGGCCTAAAATAATCGTGCATGGTATTGGCCTTGACCACTGGTATCGATTTAGGGATGGTCTTAGTCAGTCTGACATTCAAGTCTTCTGCCTGGAATTCTGGAACATACATCTTTCCTTCTGAGGCTTGGCATGGCTAGAGCAGTTTGCAAACATGATAAAAGCTAGTGTAAAGGTAGAGCTGGTCTCAAAGGAGGACAGAGCTGAAAATTCAGAAAAAAGAAACTAGAGCCCTGATTGAATCATATCTGAAACCCACCCTCCCACTGTGCTTTTCCGTTCTGTGAGTCAACAAATCCCCTTTATTAAGCCAATTTAAGTTTAATTTTCTGTTATTTGCAGCTGGAAGGCTCCTTCCTGAAACAGGACCAAAAGGAAAAATGAGCAAATGAGCAATTCACAGAAGAAAAAAAATGTCAAATAAATAAAAATTTAAATGTTCAACCTCACTAACAATAAAATTTTTTTAAAATTAAAACAAGGTCATTTTGGGGTTATTAAGTGGCAAAAATTAAAAATATGGTTAGCACACAATTCTTGTGAGAATGGATTTATTTAAGCACTTCCATATACAGTTGATAAAAGTATAATTGGTAAGGCCTTTTTGGAAGGCAATTTTTATTTCTCTCTCAGATTCTGAATTGTGAATTTCTGAGCCTAGTAATTCTTCTTATTGGTCTTTAAGCAACAGAAATATTCAAGTTGTATATGTAGCAATCATAGATCTCTAGCCAATAGAAATACTCAAGATGTAGATGCACACAGGAGGAAATGGTTAAATAAATTATAATATTACAAACATACCATGGAATACTGTTCAGCAGTTTGTAAGGAAAAATGAAACATAATGACATACATGTATATACTGACATGCAAAGATGTCCACAACATATATTAAATGAAAAAGCAGGCTGCAGAATAATATATATATAGTAAGACTCCATCTTATGACAGAAAGAGACGAAAATCCGTAAGGCTGAATCTATATATGGAAGAGATAAAGAGGGACTTTCATTTTATATTCTTCTGTCTTCTTAAAATTTTTTTTACAATGAGCATCTTATTTTTAATGTACAGTATAATTCTAGTTTTATAGAAAATCTGCATATACTAGTATCTTGATAGATGAAAACATACAAATGCATTTTAAAAGTCCAGAAAAATACAAAGCAAATGTTAACAGTAGTTATCTTTGGGTGGTGGAGTTATTGGTATAGTTATTTTCTTTAGACTTCCTGAAGTTTCTGGGAAAAAAATTAAATAGAATATACATCCCATCAAAAATTAATAAAAAGTAGAGACAGATTTCAAAAGAAAGAAGGACTAAGCAATATATGACCTAGTTATTGTCATCTGCTTTAAGCTTTAGGAAATACATTTTGACTCAAGGATTTGGGGAGCCTGGGTAGGCTTGAGTAGGGTGTGCAACTATAGAAAGATGCATGAAGTTGCAGGAACCTAGGAGCAAGTAACATGAAGAAGGGGCTAAACAAGTAATGAAAGCAAGATGGAGTGGCTCTAACAGCTCATTATTACAGTATCATTAAGACACAGTCCACAATATCCTTAATAGCACAAACACTAAAGGCAAACCGCCCAATCCAAATCCTGGCTGTACCCTAGTTGTATGACCTTAAGCAAGCTACTTAATTTGCAAAAAGGATTCTTGATGACCTCCAAAGGCCAATTTCTTTCTCTGTTTTAGGAGTAAGATGTAGATAATTCATCTGTAAGATGCACCTGTAAACTGTAGATAATTAAAGTACTTACTTCACAGGTTGTTGTGAGGTGTATATATATATATACATATATATATATATATGGCACTTAGAACAGTGCCTGATACATAGTAAGGGTTATACATGTGTTTGCTATTAATTTTAGTGGGTGATGGTAAGACACAGAAGCATAACATTTCTGCCCTTGATGGAGCTTATGATTTTGCTCAGAATACAGGAAACAAAAAAATCAAGAGCCAAAAGCGTGACCTAAATCAGGGGATGGCAAACTTCAACCCATGGGCCTCTAGCTAACAACAGATTTTACATTTTTAAAAAGTTGTAGAGCAAAACAAAACAAGGAATATGTGACGGAGATCAATGTGGATTGTGAAACCTAAACTCTTTACTATCTGGCCCTTTACAGAAAAAGTTTGCCACTCTTGATCTAAACAGTAAGTGCTACACCGAATTAGATGCAGAAAGAGCATTATGTGGGCAGGAGGCAAGCTTTGAACTGTAAAAACCTTATGAGCTGGAGGGCCTTTGGAGGTCATCAAGAATCCTTTCTGCAAATTAAGAGATCACCGCTCAAGCAGTTTCTGCTTAAGGTGTTCACAGTGATGGGGGATTCACTATTTGACTTGAACTTTAAACAGAAACCTCTCTTCTTTCTTTCCATACTCCTCAATTCAGTCTCAACTTCCCTGCCATTTCCCCCTGCCTCTTCCTGCTCCCTCTCCTGCGGAACAGTCAATCTGGTTTACAGTGAGACTTAAATTTATGGCCGAATCCTGGCTCTGCCACCTACCAGAAAATTTACATAATCTCCGAGCCTCCCAAACTTCATCTACAAAATGTAAATAACAATTTTGGGATCGTGAAGATTAAATGAGAGGATGGTGAAAGGGCCTAGAGGGCCCTCAACATTGCTTTTTGTAGTCAATCACTTGATTCCAGGACTCAAGCCTATCCTTCCAGCACAAAAACAGCTTTCAGGCAACGCAGAGCTCTTGACTAGAAGTTAACAGACCTCTAGGCCTATTTCTACCACCTGTGGCCATGGGTAAACTCACTCACCCTGATTCATGGGCTTCACCGATAAAGTGAAGGGCATGATGAATGACCGGATGAATGACCGGTCCCCTCAGGATTAAAAAATAATCTTGAGCCCTGGATCTCGGAGCGGGACACAGGCATGTCTCAGCTCCTCCCACATTCGAGTCCCGAAAAAGCCAAACGACCGAGACTCACCCTCGGTAACATAAAAGGGGTAAACCCCGGGCCCTGTACCGAATCTCCATTGCCGCCGGCCTGGCTCCAGGCAAAGCAGGCGAAACAACAACACTGGAACACAGGCCAGCGCTTTAAACCGACACAAACACAAGCCAACAGTTCGTTAACATGCGGTGATAAATTAAAAGACACAGGCGACACCACTGCTCTGAGCTACAGACCGAAGGCTAGGCCAAATTACTGCCCAAATTGCACTGGTACGGGAGAGCCCCATTGAGAAGCTTCCTTCCGCTCCCTCGAACTCCACAGCCCCAGGGAGAGGAGGAGGCCGCGGGCGTAGTAGGTGGGAAAGGAAGTGCAGACCTCGCCGGGGAAAGGCCAGGCGGAAAGCCGAGGGCACGCGCCTTCTCACCTTAGCTCGCGTGGGCTCAGCCTCCTGCTGCCAGCAAGGTTTGGATCCGAGCGACGGGACCCGACTGGATCAAGGGGCGGGCCCTGCCGAGAAAGGACCCTTCAACCTTCCCACCGGCTCCGCGGGCTTCGCAGGCCTTCCGGGCTGCCCTCCGGCTGCCTGACTGGAAAATCCAGAACTCTGTCCCTCTCTTCCCTGACCTTCCTTCCTCCCCGCGGAGAAGGTGTCCTTTCCGCCCGGTTAGCCAGAAGCAAAGGGCGAGGTTAAGGAACCGGCGGCAGCTCGCCATAGCGGTTTTAGTCAGGCAGTACATCGGGCACCTGGCCAGAGCCAGGCTACGGAAAGAAAAGTCCTCTGCTTGGCTCCCCCGACTTGAAGCGCCTTCCACTTTCGTCCTCTCCTGCTCAAGATGGTGGCTTCCCGGGCAGTTGGCAGCCTCAGCCGCTTCACTGCCTCCAGGATGCTCCGTTGCCCAGGTGAGGCCTGGTTGAGGGCGCCCAACAGCCCCGGGCAGAACTCCTACGGAGACCCGAGCTTCCCCGGAGCCTCGTCTCCCCATCGCTGCCACCTCCCTGCCCCGGCCCAGGGTCCCAGCCCTGGATAAGGGGGAGGGATGCTGCTCTGGGATCTGGTCTCTTGTTCCCTGGCGCAGGGACTGACATTTCCTCTCTCATGAGTCCTGCAGCGATTTCGGGCTCCATAAGCCCTAATGTTTCTGAGCCCTGTCCACCCGGTCTGGCACTTTCCGCTGGTCTCCTCATTTCATTTAATGATGGCCTTGAGCCTGTTCCTACGAGATTGGGAGGACTAGGAGGACTAGGACAGTCCAGTCTGTCACATCTTTGTGGCTCCATTGCACCTTGCCTGTAACAAGAGGCATCTTAAAACCGTGTGTGAAATTAACCAGCCTTGCAAATTACTGCCATTCCCTGCCCCTTTTCCCCAAAACCTTTTTTGTACCTATTACCACACTTCAATAGGAAGCTCAACTCTTGCAGTTCCAATAATCCCAGTATGAACGTATAATATATTGATTTTCAAGGGGTAGGTTCTGCAATTTGCTAGAAGAAGCATTTTTTAAAAATTACGTAGATACTCTCTTAAGGAGCAAGGTGTTAGATAATTTTACAACTATTTCTACCCTTGTTTCTGACGATACCCAGTTAGCTTGCATTAGCTGTATTGTCTTTTTGTCTTCAAACTGGCAGTGAAAGAGTTAAAGTGGGTGACTGTGGAAAATCAAGCATTTTCCTTCCATCTCAAATCTTAAGGTGAAATGTGACTTTTTATTGCATGTTGTACTTAATATCGGTTACTTAATTAGAAATATAATTTATAATATGCCTTCCTCCTTCTGAACCCCCCGGGGTAATACCGCATGCTGTTTTTGGAGGAGTGCCTGGAATCTCCCTTTACTGTAAGGGACTAATTTCGAATGATTGAATCTCTTCTGCTTTCTTATTTCGACCAATGTTTTTAGTCTCCACAGGACTGCTTTGTGTGTGTGTGTGCGCGCATCAATCATAAGATTACAGAAAATTGAAATGCTGTGAAGACTGGGGAAAGGGATTAAGAAAAAGAGAATCACCCATTCCCTTACTACTCACATACCTACTGTTAGCATTTGGTCATGTGACCTGACAGTTTGTCTATTTTCCACATTTTTGGTTTAACACTTTAAAAATATCAAATGTATATTTTTGAGGTTCCCCTCCATTGATTTTAAGGTAATGCAATTAAAAGCATTAAATTTGGAGTCTGACTTCTGGGTTTGAATCTAGCTCTGCCTTTTACCCTCTGGTGACCTTGGGCAAGTAATTTCTGTGTCTGTTTTCTCATTTGTGAAATGGGGAATAATACCACCTTGTGAGCTTTAAAGGAGTTATTTTAGGTGTAAAGCAGTTTTTCGTGGAGTAAGTGCTACTAGTAACGTTAATAAATGTTAGCTGTTATAACTCTTTCCTGCCCTGAAGAACTATGATTCTATTGATACAGATATGAGACTTTTTTAAAGTAATTTTTACATTTTACATGTGATAAAAGGTTACAAGCCTAGTTTTTCTATATTTTTTATAGAAATATATATACACACGTGTGTATATATTTTGCATTGTGTTTTAACCTATAAGAAAATATGGCTTGGGGAAGGAGGGTTAAATTGGGAGATTGGGATTGACATATACACACTACCATATATAAAATAGATAACTAATAAGAACCTACTGTATAGCACAGGGGAACTCTACTCAATACTCTGTAATGACCTATATGGGAATAGAATCTAAAAAAGAGTGGATATATGTATATGTATAGCTGATTCACTTTGCTGTACAGCAGAAACTAACACAACATGGTAAATCAACTATCCTCCAATAAAAATTAATTTTAAAAATTAAAAAAATATAGCTTATTATAGCTATTGCTCCTTTTAGTAGCAATGTATAAATTTTGAAAAAAAAGTCTAGAAAGTGAATTTAAAATTACCTGCACACCTGGATTGCCATTTAGACTCAACAGACTAACCCTAACCCTAACCCTAACTGAAAGTCTGTGCCAAGGCATTGCCAAACATTTAATGAGATTATGACGTTTAATGATGGATGATTAAAATCTCTTGATGCTGCTTTGTATTTCTTGAAGTTTTGACCCATTCCTGCCTGAGTGCTATAATTCTGAGTATGACTATCAAATGAAAATCACATCTTGACCAAAATATCTTGTTTATTTCCCACTCTTACTCTAAATTCAAATTCCTGATTACCTAAGTGGTAGAATAATTTCACAGGAAAAGAATTGGAGGCAAATACCTTAGTAGATGGTGTATATTTAAATTTGACTCTCACTTCCTTAATCCTGTCCCTTCCCCCGGTACTAAATATTGAGAAAAGCTGTTGATTGTTACAACAAAAGTAACACTTTCATATTTGAAATTTGTGTTAGAGTAATCCAGCTCTCTGCACTGCTGTAGTCTTCGATCTTGTAGGTATCTTGTTAGGTATCTTCTCGAGTTAAATTATTTAAATGATTACAAAGTAGGCCAGAGGTTTCTCTCTCTTTTGCTGGCACAGGAAATATAGGCTAAAGTTCACCCAGCTGCTCTACAGCAGGGGTCCCCAACCCCCGGGGCTGCAGGCGAGTGCCGCCTGAACCATCCCACACCCCACACCCCCACCAGTCCGTAGAAAAATTGTCTTCCATGAAACCTGTCCCTGGGGCCCAAAAGGCTGGGGACCGCTGCTCTAAAGTAAGCTTTCCTAATTAGGAAGTGAGGAAGGCTGGATTCCAAAAGCAAAGCTACCGAGTACTTCAACTTGATTTAGTTGACTGTGGTTTGAAATTGTTTTCCAGACATGATTGTACATTTGCTGGTTTTTTCTTTGTTTCTTGTCTCTATTGATTTAGAGGAGGTTTTGTGTATGTCTATATGGGGGGGGGGGGAAAGGTACGTTAGTGGATGAGAGTTTATGGTTTACAAGCTAATGAGCTCAAACCTGTTGTCTCAAATATTTGGTCTTCACAATTACAACCCACGTCCAAGCCCCTTCACCTGCTCTGTTTTCTTTTTTCCTTAGGCACTTATTTTCTAACATATTTATTTCCATATTTATTTTTATTGTCTTTTATCTGTCTTTCCACCCCATCTTCTCCCACCCTGCATTCCTGATCAGTTCCTTCTCACTAATTCAGTTTACCCTGTTCTAGCTAGAATTGCCTATTATCTGGCTCCCCTCCCACAGAATTTCTACTTTATAGGGAAACTCCTTTCTATGCCAGGCCTGTTTTCACCTCCTCCACAAAGACAGGGATTTTTGTCTTTCTGTTCACTCTAGGCCACACTAGATTTTTGTTGTGGAATATAAATGACTATGAGATGATGTTGGAGGAGATTACAGTTTAGTTTGGGGAAACACCTGCTACAGATGCAACGATTAGAGAACAAAACAGTGAGTAATAAAGATAAAATTTGGGCAGGGAAGGCAAAGATCCTTGTAGACAGAATCTCAAGATAAGGCTTTGTGGAGCCATGATACAGATATAAAGAAGGAAGAGTCACAAATACAGATGACACAGATCTCAAATGATGGAAAAGCAAAGGGAAGTTTATCATTAGTGAAGTAGAGGCACTGGAGATTGAGGAGATGGCTGGCTTCTCTTATCTTAATTTACTTTGGTGTAGGACTTTGACTTATAGGTACTTTTATAATCATTACATCACTTTTACTCTATCTTTATAAGAACACTGAAATGCTCTGAGAGACTTGTACATGGTCATACAACTAGTAAATAATAAACTTGATGGTCGAACCCACAGCTTTGGACTCTCGGGTCCTTTGTCTTTGCACCATGAGGGCTGACTTGGGTTGCTTAAAGAAAAACAAATGCAGACAGAACCAGCGATCACCCCACTCTGGTTCTGGTGCCATCTAGTTTTTTTTTAAAAAATAGTATGTTGTTTTGCCTTTGAAAGCAGTATAAAGCTGCTTTTTCCTGTGCCTTCGCTTCCCCTCCTTTAAAGAACTGCAGGATAGAGAGAAACATGGAGCCCCTAAAGCCCCTTGATTTTATTTTTCATGACACTGGAAAGTCCATCTCTCCATAGAAATGCAAGAGGACCTGGCTGGAGAACATGCTTGAGATATATTTGGAATACATTTGGAACTAACATGGATCGCTTTGTAGATTACTTATTTCTTAGTGTAGTTGTTTCCTATTGTGGCCCTAAATTTCCACAAGCTTAGTGTCTGAAACAATAGAAATTTATTATCTTACAGTTACGGATGTCAGAAATGAGTCTTACTGGGTTAAAATCAAAGGTGTTGGCAGGGCTGTGTTCATTCTGGATGCTCTAAGGGAAAATCCATTTCGTTGCCTTTTCTAGCTTCCAGAGGCTGCCTGCATTCCTTGACTTCTTCAAAGCCAGCAAAATGAGTTCTCGTGCTGCCATCTCTGGTTCTTTTGCCTTTTCTCCTCCTTTGTAATTTCATGGGGTGTACCTGAATAATCCAGGCTAATCACCCTGTATTAAGGTCAGCTAATTAGCCACCTTAATTCCATTTGCAGCCTTTATTTCCCTTTGCCATATAACCTAACA